TATTTTATTTATTTAATTAATTAATTAATTAAGGTATGTTTTATTTGTATTTTATTTGTTTGCTAGTTTATTTTATGGCACATCTTATTTTGTTTTATTGCAAATTTCATTTATTTGTTAGTTTATTTTATTTCTATTTTATTGCATCTTTTTATTTGTCGCCCACCTGACTTTATTTTATGGTATGTTTTGTTTCTTCTTTGTTTTAATCTTCTTTGGTTTCATGGCATATTATGCTATTGCATTGTTTTATTTGTTTTATTAAGATTTTATCTTAGGTTTTTATTTTACTTGGCTGCGTATTTTAACTTCATGGCATGTTTTTGTTTTATTGCATATTTTATTTCTTCATTTCCAGGAGGGGGGGGGGGGGGGGGGGGGGGGGGCGTCCAAATGCAAAAAAAACAGTTTTGTGTGCATGGAAAGATTTTCCTGCTCGTTGGCCAGAATTATAGAAAGAGAGGAAATTAATGGAAGAGGGCCAGAGATGAGCCAGGAAAGGAAAAAAAAACTCCTGAATAAACAAAGAGTCAATTTTCCAGGGGTGTGAGACGTTTCCTTGCAATAGGATTGGTTCAAAGCCAGGCCAATTGCGAAAAAAAGAAAGAAAGAATCGGTTGGGTGTGATGGGACTTGTAGTCCCACTATATCTTTACGCGCTTTCTGGCTGCGGTTGTTAAATGAATCCGCCTTCCTCGTTGACTTCGCTTGTCGGAAGGTCGCAAAATGGGGATCGCGTGACTCCGGGGGACACGACGACCGTCGTAAATACGAGACACTAGCCAAGCCTCTGAATTTTAATTGCGTGACCCCCCAGGGATGTCTCTACGGTCGTAAGCGTGAAAGGCAGTCATAGCTCATTTTTTTTCAGCACCATCGTAAACTTTGAACGGTCACTAAATGAACCGTTGTAAGTCGAGGACTTGCCTGCACTGAGGAAGAAAATAGAATTCGCTTTTGTTGGCTGCCGTGCATGTTGATTTTTCTAAAAAATGGTTTAAAAGGTTTTTCCCGCTGTTTTTATATATATATATATGACTCTGGACAATTTACGGTTCATATATATATATATGAACCGTAAATTGTCCAGAGTCACCAATTGAACGAATAAATCAATTCAGGCAGTCCTCGACTTACAACGGTTCATTTAGTGACCGTTCAAAGTTACGATGGCGCCAGGAAAAAAATGAGTTACGACCGCTTTTCACACTTAACGACTGCTGCATCCTCCTCCTATGTCAATGCACTCAAAATGCAGATGCTCGGCCATTGACTCTGATTTACGACGGCCACAAGGTCCCAAGATCCACGCGATCCCCTTTTGCGACCTTCTGGGAGGGGGAGCCGGATTCACTTAACGACCGTTTAGCAACTGCAGGGAGTTGCTTAACCAATTTGTGCAAGAAACGAGTGCAAAAAGTCAACTGAACCGATGTCTCGCTTAGCAACATAATTGGAGGGCGGGGGGGTCCAATGGTGGTCGTAAGTGGAGGACTTCCTGCGACTTCCATCCTGGGTTGTGGGTTTCGAACCTCACCCCGGCCGTTTCCTGCAGAGTGACCCTCGATCCGGGTTTGCGACCCTTTTCTTCCCCCAGTCTCTCTTCTTTTTAATCAGCTGCACGAGCTGGTCCTGGAATCGGCCCGTGAGAAGAGGGACATGGAGCAGAGACACGCGGTCATAAAACAGAAGGTGAGGTTCCCCGGGGTATGGGAAACCTGGCTTAATTACAGGGGTGGGCTGATAACAGGTAACAGATAATCAGAGTTGGATGGGACCTCGTAGGCCATCTCGTCCAGGGGTCACCAAACCGCAGAGAAATCTCACCCTCCAAAGCAATTAATCGAGGCTGCGCGGAAACACAAGGGCTGTCCAGCCCACAAGACCCACGGGAACCCTCCCCGCCCACTCACTCCTTACCTGGCAAACTTGCCTGCTAAATTGCTATTTTTTCCTTTTTCCAACCATCATCTGTTCTTCTGTGCCGGGAGATTTAGATTAGCTCGGAAGCAGGAAACGGTTGGATTTCTTGCTTTCTAGCTAGTCTTTAGATCTTCGGCTCTGCTTTTAAGCACAGCCGAACCTCCCTTAGGACTGAAGGTTTTCTTGCAAGCAAATTCAGTGCAGACTCAGGGCAAGTAAATTTGACAGACTGAGCTAGCCGATGGCAGATAGATAGATCACTGAATGGTTCTGTGAGCAACTCAATCTGCCTGCCTGCTTTGCCTGATTTTGGGTAAAAGTTGCTCCTTTTTTTAATAAAAAAAAATCAATATTTACATACATGGTGTGTTGTGAGTTCATTTTGTGAGTTTGCTTGCAAGCAAATTTTATGTGACAGACTCAGGTAGCTGATGGCAGATAGATAGATCTCTGAATGAATCTGTGATTCTGTGAGCAACTCAATCTGCCTGCCTGCTTGGCTTGATTTTGGGTAAAAATTGCTCTTTTTTAATCTTTTTTAATATATAAATGTTTATAATCTTTACATACAAGCTATGCCCAGCCAGTCACATCACCACCAAGCCACACCCACAAATTAGGCCATGCCCACAGAACCAGTTAGTGGTCCCCATGATTTAAAATTATGAGTTTGGTGGTCCCTGAGGTCCCAAAGGTTGGCAACCCCTGGAACTAGTCCAACCCCCCGCCCAAGCGGGAGACCCTACACCATTTCTGACAAGATAGTACTCCAATCTCTTCTTGAAAGCCTCCAGGGATGAAGCTCCCAAAACTTCCGAAGGCAACTTCTGTTCCATTGAGTACAGAATACAAGAGTTCTTGTATTGATTCTGTATGATTCTATAAGGGTCTCATGCTTAAGAAGGGGGTTGGGCTAGATGACCTCTGAGGTCACTTCTAACTATGATTCTGTAAGGATCTGCTTGAGAAGGGGGTTGGGTGGCGTTTCAACAGGTGGGAGGAGCTTGTGAAAGAAGGGGCGGAGCCTTAGGCCCAAAGGGAGGGGTTTCCTTTGATAGCGGGAGGAACTATCGAAGTGGGATTTGGGCCTCTGTTGGCCAACAGAAGGTCCTTTGCGTGCAGGTTTTATGTCTCTCCTCTTCACCTTTGTCCAGGATTTGACCCAAGACGATGATATTCCTGAAATCCAGGCTGAACCTGGCGCGGTGGTGACGGAAGGATACCTGTACAAACGGGCCAGCAACGCCTTCAAGACCTGGAGCAGGTAAGCTAGGCGGACACACCTGCCTCATCCCATAGAGCAGCGTTTCTCAACCTGGGCATCTTTTAAGAGAGGTGGACTTCAACTTCAACAGGATTCTCCAGTCAGTTTAACAGATGACAGGTCATCAGAGTTGGGAAGGTACATTGTAAGGTCATCTAGTCCAACCCCCCTCTTCCCAAGCAGGAGACCCTACACCATTTCTGACAGATGGCAGTCCAGTCTCTTCTTGAAAGCCTCCAGGGATGAAGCTCCCACAGCTTCCAAAAACTGGTTAATTATTCTCACTGTCTGAAAGTTTCTCCTTATTTCCAGGTTGAATCTCTCCTTGTTGAGTTTCCATCCATTATTCCTTGTCTGGCCTTTGGGTGCTTTGGAAAATAGCTTGACCCCTTCCTCCTCCTCTCTGGGGCAGCCCCTCAAATATTGGAAGATGCCCTCCTGTCTCCCCTGGTCCTTCTCTTCCCTAGACTAGCCAGGCCCAGTTCCTGCAACCATTCATCGTATGTTTTAGTCTCCAGTCTCCTAATCATCCTGGTTGCTCTTCTCTGCACTTTTTCTAGAGTCTCAACGTCTTTTTTATTGTGTGGTGACCAAAACTGGACGCAGTACTCTAGATGTGGCCTTACTAAAGCTTTACAGAATGGTATTAGTACTTGATCTGGATTGTATCCCTCTGTTAATGCAATTTAGGATTGCATTGGCTTTTTTTGGCTGCCACTGTACACAGCTGGCTCCTCTTTAGCTGGTTGTCCACTAAGACTCCAAGATCCCTCTCTCAGTTCCTGCTATTGAGCCTGGTTTCACCCAGTCTATATGTGTCCTTTGGGTTTTTCTTGCCTAAGTGTAGGACTTTCCTTTTCTCTACACTGAATTTCATTATGTTAGATACGGCCCGGTGTTCTAGTCTGTCAAGATCCCTCTGGATCTTGAGCCTATCTTCTTGGGTGTTGGCTGTTCCTGCCAGCTTAGTATCACCTGCAAATTTGGTAAGTTCCCCTTCTATTCCCCCATCATTGATTTAAGATGCCTGGACTCCAGCTCCCAGGGTTCCCCAGCTGGCAAATGTTTTCCAGAATTCAACACGGATAGGACAAGAACAAATACATTTTTCGATGGGCTAACTTTCTTAGTATAAGTAGTCCTCAACTTCCGACCATTCGTTTAGCGGCCATCCGAAGTTAGGACGGCACTGAAAAAAGAATTTCCCACACTTTCAGCATCCCCGTTAACAATCGCCTTGCTTAACAAGAAAAGTTCTGCTCCTAACTGTGGTCGTAAGTCAGGGGCTGCCTCTACCTATTTAACCTTTGAGGTTGAAGGGAGCCTGCCCTTTCAATTGTTCTCGGTGAGGTAGACTGCTCTGGCCTAGGGAAGCTCTCCTGGGCCGTCCTTCCCTGCTCAGCTGCTGTGTCTCTGTTGCAGGCGCTGGTTCTCCATCCAGAACAGCCAGTTGGTATATCAGAAGAAAGCCAAGGTGAGAAGTGGGGGTGCTGCCTCTGGAGGATGAGGGGGGGGCAGTTTTTCTTGGGAAGGAGGGAGGGAGGAAGGAAGGAAAGAAAGAAGCAGAGGAGAGGGAGGAAAAAGGAAAGGAAGGAAAA